GTTTATAGATTGGTGTGGTCAAATATAGTAGCTACTAGCCCCATGTGGCTATTGAGCATTTGGAAACGTGTCCAAATTAAAATGCGCTATAAGTGTGAAATATATAACAGATTTCAAAGACAATATGAAAAAAGAATGTAAAATTATTTCCTTAATAATTTGTATATTAATTACAAGTTGAAATAATAATTTTTTATATATTGGGTTAAGTTAAAAATTATTTTTACAATTAATCTCACCTATTTCTTTTCATTTTTTAAATGTAGCTAATAGAAAATTTTAAATACATATGTGACTTGCATAATATTTCTGTTGGACAGCACTGTTACAGACTATTTGCAGAAGATTTTTTTATGCATTTATGATTTTTGGAGACAAATTGAGGGTGTTTTACAGAGAAAATAAAATATAAAGGCAGAACAGATGATCCATTGTGGTTAGATGATATTTCTAGGTTTTAGGTCATTAAATTTTTGTTCTGAAAACTTTACTTTGGATACTAAATATCTAGGCCCAGAGTCCTGGAATTAAAAAAAACTGTAGAAAAATTGGGATGCTGAAGCGTTTGCCACTTTCTGGTATTTCCTGAGCTGTCACTGGATATACTAGATTCTCGAATATCCATAGATTCCTGCTTGCATATGGTGACACTAAAAAAGATAGCTTAGAAAGAAGTAAATATTTATGGAAGGGGTTGTTTGACATGGTGATATTATGGGAATTAAGTGAAGCTAACTTTGATCTTGTCTCTCTTATTTGAAATGAAATGTTTGGGTTATTTTACATCTGCATTGACTTGCTAGCAGGAAAAAAAATAATATGAACTGTAATTAGGTTGGGAATAATATCTAATGACTCAGGGAGTCTATGAGATTAACTAATTTTGGCAAAAAGTTCTAAATAAAAGTTAGAAGGCTTAATTCCAAGTGTCTTTTAAACTAAATTTTAATTTAATTTAAAAATCATCATATTCTCAGATTTCCAAATTAGTGGGCTTTCTTCCTTCATTTAAAAAAAGCTAAATAAACTAAAATAGCTCTGATGAGCACCAGAGGCCCGCAGCAGCCTCCTGGCCAGAGACATAAAAATGCATATTTTTCTCTCCGTTATTCACAAATGGCACATAGTATAGGCTCCCTTCAGGCCCACAGTCATGCTCATTTTGGCACTTGGGAATGACAGAAAACCAAACAAAAAAAAAACCAACTCCTAGTGTAGGTCCTCAGACACACAAATGTTCTGTCTATCACTGTCCAGTATGACTCACTGGAATAAACTTTCTCTTATCTAATGACCTCAAGAGAAGATTTTCAAATACACATTGGGGATCTATGGAAATGAGAGAATTAAGAATATGAGTATTATGGAGCACAAGGAATTGCCAGTGACTACAGGGAAGAACACAGCAGCATGAGAAATAAGAAATAGAATATGTGCTGATTTTTTCTGGGATTGGAAAATATGTCATCGATGCCAGATATTGTAGCGGAGACAGATGGCATGGCAGATGCTGTGAAAGAAAAATGACTTACTACTAGGTGAACCAGAAAAAGTAAACATGAAGGACAGAGGGAAAAGTACACGAGTTCCATTGTCCGGAACATCTTCCCATAGCTGTAAAATGTCTAATTGTAGTCCACAGGGTTGCAGATTGCAAATGAAGTGTTACCCCTTTTCTCCACTGATTGCACATTTGGAATTCTTTTGAGAGGACTCACTAGTCATCTGTTGGTTTTCTAAAGAAGAAGGGAAGAGAACAACTCATTGGATATATGATGCCAGTATATTATGAAGAAGATGTTACTGCTAATACTTTTCTGGCCCACTGGTTGCTATATGATATATCGAAACTGGATGAAACTCATTCTGGTCTATTTTAGAAATGTTCCCAATTAACATCCTTTCATGGTGCAAATTAAATAAACAGGGTTGGCATTTTAATACATTTAAGTCAAAGTTGTTTAAAATGTGTCTTAGAAAGCTGGGCTGGGTTCTTTCATTAGGTCCCTGGGGTTTAAAATATGTACCTCAGCACAATTATAAATTAGTTCGCATTGTGGCTCCATAGGTTGTTAGGAAATGGTTGAAATCAATAAAAATGGTCTACAAATGCTACAGGTCTACTATAAGATACCCGGGCACATACATACAGTATGTGCCAATGTATGTAGGTTTAATGCATATTGAAAAATTCAGCAATATGCACTTGGCAACCACTGTTGCATCGCTTATATTAGACAGAAATGGATGTAATTGAGCCTAAAATTGCCAGTGTGAGTTGCTGAAATAAGAAAAGTATGAGAATGATATTTAGAATTTTCTGGTCATTACCAAATAAGTAAATAAAATAAAAGTGGCTGAGCTATATCTAGTGATGGTTTTGTCACTACATTTGGTGAAGAATTTGAATAATTAATTAAAGGCTATGGTGTGATATTGACTAACAAAGTATTACTGTAGGGCTTTCAAGGGTAATTTTGATTATATATAACATTTACTTTCTGTATTGTTTTAGAAACATTAATAGCCTTCCGAAGGTAGACTGCATTGTGCATGTACAACTTTCATCCACATACACAAAATTATTGCAAAAATGAATCTTTATGACAACATGGAATCCAGAAATAGCTTAGACACCGTTTTTTTTTTAGAAGAGCAAATGCACCCAAGGCCACCTGGCAAACCCTATCTATTTCTTACTTTCTCCTTATTCCCTATTTCTTCTCCCTATTGCCCAGATCAGTCCTTTCCTCTGTTATAGTGAAGTACAAAAGATGAAATGTAGAAAATGAGTTTGCAGAGACTAGTATCAAACTGTCATTTCCATCTGGCCCACCTCAGAACAAATGCGTTTACGAAGTTTGAGGTTACACATTTAATGAAATCGAGAGAGAAACCACAGAGAAGCTAGTTCGATCTGGAGCAAGTCCTGCACGAGGAATTGCCTGTGGTGTGTCTTGCAAGCCATCCCTGAGGAATAAGACTCAGAGCCTGAAGGGCTGGGTAGGAGTGGATCAGCCCCTGGTGGGGTGGGGGTGGGAAGAGCAGACTACATTGCAGCATAAGGTAGTTGATTGCTGCAGAGCCTTGTTCCTTGACCTGTTCAACAAGTACAAATCTCTGTTGTCTGCCACTCTTCATTAGATTTATGAACCTGGACAATGACTCATGATAAAATAGCTTCCTATTCTGCTATGTGGAAGCTTCTGTAAGAAAATCAGGGAAAATATAAATGCTCTCTGATTCCAGCAGAGGCTGGACAATGCTGCAGTTCTGTTTTTAAAACAAGTCGAAGTACCCTTTTAAAAGATTTCAACACGTAATCAGTGTTTATACAACAGATGCTATTATCTTATCAGTATCACGTAGTTTGGCTCCTAATTGAGAATTTCTTCCTTCTTTAGGTACGTAGTGCAAACTACACAATTGTCTGTTTGAAAGACTCCTACATTATATTCCTAAAATTAAAGATAAGGACGGAATGGGCAAAATGAGAAAAAAAAAAGACTAAAAAATCCAGATGTTCTTCTATGCTGTATATGGTATAATTACAAAGCACACTTTTCCAAAAAGGAAAATAGTCACTAGGCACTTCAAATGAGAAGCAATTTCATTCTTTCACAGGCCCCACTAAATGGCATTTTTTTGACACTTTTACTCAGTAGCTTTAACACTCCGTTTTAATGTGTCATTGAGAACAACGTAACATTATATTATCCTTGCAATAAGCACTTCTTATACTAAAAACTTTATGATTTGCTTCATCAAACACTTATTCTTTGCTTTGATAAAAATATGCATTTTTAGGTCATTTCCATGGATAATTTCTTATTATGAATCTCCAACAGTGATATTGCTTTGTAGTAAACTCCTAATTTACTCAGAATCAAGAAAGCAGAAAACTCTAGGAGAAAATTATATACATAAATATGTATTTTAAACATTGTAATTGAAAGATAATGGCAAGGAAAATAACTTCAATAACATTTTTTTATCAGAAATGAAGCCTACCGAGAAATTCATATGTATTTCAATTATTTATAACTTCTATAACCTAATAGCAAAAATAAATCTCTATGGAATCTGTTTTATTACAAGATCCTGAACTACCTTTTGAACGATCAAGGACGATTTTACCTTCGGTGTAATTTCATGTTGATTATTCTAATTCTTTGAAAATTTGTAAATCTAGGTCATATCATAAACCTCAAATAACAAGAACATTCTCTTTTTTCCAAATATTTTTATTCTTATTCACCTTAGATAAGTGATAATCCATATGATTACAAACTTCAATTAACTAGAACATTCACTTTAATTTGTCCTCCCAAACTATCTCCTTTCTCCATCATCCTTGGTAGGTTCCGTAAATAAGTGTAAATTGAAGAAAATCTGGTTTTAAGAATGTTCTGAAAGCTTCTACAAGGAGATGCTTAAACTATTGTCTTCAAACAGTTCTAATAGAAAGGAAAAATGTTGAAGCTCCTTGAGAATCAAAAACCGAATTGCAACAGTCTCATTTCGAATAGTGGCTCCTGTAAAACCTCTGCACTTGGTACTACTTAAAACTTGTTACTACAGATTGGAAACTAATCAGACCTAGAGTCATTATAAAATAGGAAGCCCCCCAGAGGACTTACTCCCAAATGATGATAGCTGTGTTATAAACTCTCCTTCCAATTAATTTTATTGTTTTAGTTGATGGAATCACAGAAGTGAAATGAACCTGGAAAAAAGTGAGCACTGTTCCCAGCAGGAGCCACAATCCCAATGCCTGCAACAGCTTTAAAAAAGAATAATGAAAAAATAATGAAGATGCAGGATGCTGAGCATTGGCTTTGAGAGTAAATATTGAGTTGGAAAGACATCGACTGGAAAGGTTTTTATTTTTCATATTCAGTCCAATCAGTCTAAATATATTTCATTTCCTACTGTGAGTGGAATAAGTCATCAAGCTAGAATCGTTAACTCCACAGTTTCTATTAAACTTCTTCACTCACCTTCCATAGGAGTGTTACTGTCGGGTCGATTTGCAAAGACTACATCCACATACTCGAGCTGCAGCCTCTGGAGGGAGCCCTTTAATCCTGGGAATGGAAACAGGAACAACCAAAAAGTATGAGCGCTATTAGAAAGAGTTGAAGTTTGGTTACCTTCGAGAATTAGCTTTAAAAAAAAAGCATTGGATTAGTTTAAGTGATGTATTAATTGACCCCTGAAACCTTTTAAAAATACATCAAAGGCTGATTTTGTCTCCAACAAAACAGTCTTAGAATTTCAATACTCCTCCACTAGAAAATACATACTTAGTAATAATCTCGCACGGGGACTCATGTGGTAGTTCCCACAAGTAGCGTTTAGAATAAAAAGCCTCAGAGTTTCTTCTTGAAAAATGCTAATTAATGTTACGTATTGGATTAGTTAATGGGCTTATAATGGGATGGAGATATATTTATTGCACATCAAAAACATAAAAATAGTATAAGTCAAAAATAAATGACTACCGGCTCTATCTTAAGGTACATGTGGGTTTTAATAGAAATAAATGGGTTGGCAAACCAGAGCTTTCCTCAACAATTTACTGATTGGAACAAAGTTCAAAGAACTTTAAATATAACTGAGCTCTATCATTTCTATTATTTCTTATTCTTTTGAGGAGAAACAAAACTCTAGAAGCTGTAAAGACTTAAGAAGTAATATAAAGGAGAGAGAGAAAGCTTTTAAAAAAATCTGGAAATAATCTGCATTTCAACCCTAACCATTTGGTCACATTCCTGTGACTACTCAAAAAAATTATTTAATTTTAGTAAAATTAATGCTTTTCTGAAATAGAATGTATTGTATGTAATGTTATACAACCACAGGGATGACAGTGTTCAAGAGTCATTTTATCCCATTTCCACGAAGCACAGCATTTCCTTATCAGCCTATTTAATTCCTCAGGAAGACCGAAGTTTTTTCTCTTTTTATTATAGGCATAAAATTAATTGCATGTTAAATGAGGCTCTTATAAATTTAAATTTGGCTCATTTAAACTTGATTTTTCAAACTGCTTTATCAGCCAGCCACAATTACATTTTTGACAGGAAAATGGAGTGCTTGAATATAGTTCCGGAAATACTTTTCATTTGTTGAGGAAGGATCGTCTGTGGTGCATCTTGTTAAAAGAAGCATAGATAAAGAGATCAGAGCAGACAGGTGTTGTAAGGGCTAATGCCTGCTCTTCAAAAACTGCAGTGACTTTCGGACTCAGGGTATTACCTGCTATCTCAAGGGGCAGCTTGAAATTAAATTTACCTTAAAAAGCACTATGATATGAACTACTATTTAGAAGCAATTGTATGTATGGAGGAGGTAAGGGAGGACAGGATAACCAAACAAACAAATAATAGGGTGTTACAAGTATTGAAAGGTTGGAAATCTAGCATGCTGTGTGATCTCACTTGGGTTATTTCACCTTTTTTTTTGTGTGTGTGACTCAGTTTTCTGATCTGCAGTGGGGATAATAGCACTTACTGCTACTGAATTGCCGCTGCAGAGAGCAAATAAAATCCATTGTCACGCCCTTTATAAATGCAATTGTCTGTAGAAATGTGATAATTATAACAGTGGTGTTCACATCCGGAAAGGTTCAGAATGAGAAGTGCCAAAGTAAATACCAGAGATTTTCACCGGATCCCCTAGTTTTGGAGGGAGGCATTAAATGACAGTTTGGCCCATACCTGGCACAGGAAACAATGTCCTTCTTTCTGATGATGGCCCTCTCCTTCTGTGTCTCTTTTAAACAGCTCAGTGTGGGCTGAGAGTAAGTAGGAAAAGAAGCTGTGACTGGCTTGGCCCTGTTGTAATGCTGTGTAATCAGCCATGACAAGTCATTTACTCTTCCATGCCATAAGTATGCACAAAATCCTGATTTGAGCCTGAAATTCTGCTGGACTTGGGAGATATAAAGATGTATGGACACGGTATTCAACCCCAGGGACCTAACAGTGCATATCGAGAGCATCTACTGGCATAAGTTTATTGTTCATTGGGTAATAATGTGTACCCAAAAATAATGGCATAGGCTCGACATAAAGGTCATTGTATTGATCATTCCTCACCTCTAAATTTCTCTGGGAAGTAGAGATTCAAGTGTATTCATGTGGGAATATAAGAAATGATGTGTTGCATCATGTTAGTGATCCACCTGTCCCTACTCTGACTTTGAAGGGAAGTGAAAGGAGGACCAAGGTGGTGAGAAGTGTTCAAATTTGGGACAAATTATATAAGCAGAAATGACAGGACATGCTGGTGTACTGGATATAGAGTGTGGAGGTAGAAGAATCAAGGTTAACTCTTAGATTTTTGGCTTGAGAAGTGAAGTGAGTGTTAGTAAGATGAGGAAGTCAGGGGAAAAGCAGATTGGTGTTGGTGGTGGGAGCCATGGTAAGTGTGAGCAGCACATGAATCGACCGCATGGAGCTCTTGGCAGCTAGAGGGACCAGTCTGGCATTCAGGGAGAGGTCAATGTGCAGGTGAAGCTCAGGGTTTGCGACCAAGTCATTCGGGCTTGCCTGAATGACTTGGCTCATGTCTCCTAGCCTTTTTGGGCCTTTCCTCATCTGTCCAAAGACGAAACGGAGCTAGGTGATCCTTCTGTTTTGACCTTTCACATGACAGCAGACCAAATCAAGTCGTCCTGCCTTTTCCTAAGTGGATGTGTGAATCTTGAAATAGCTAAATCGGTATCAGTGTTGCAGGTTTAACTGTGTAGAAACAAGGAAATCAGTAGTTTGGAATTCTGCAAGGGTTCTATTCAAATACGCTGTATTGTTTACCACACATTTATATTTACCGCACATTTGATTTCTTATCTAGCTTTAAAAAAATGTTGCCTCCCAGACCTAAGTTCTCTCCCTGGCCGACCATCTGTCTCTATCATATCCTTAATTATATAACGAACTGGTAGCATACCGTTCCCCTGAGCTCCGTGAGCTGTTCTAGCCAATGCACTGTATTAGAATAATATACGTGGCTGCATCTCCCATTATGAAACATGGTTATCCTGGTGGGTAACTATCAACATGGTATACTGGGAAGGAATCCTGTGATGAATTCATTTAAGAAATTTATTCTTTAATTGCAAAATCATAAATTATTTCTTTTTTTTAAAAAAAAGTTCAGATAGTAGAGCTTAACATTTGCCATTCGTTAAAAACTTTCAAGCAGAGCTTTCTCAGGTTTTCTCTTTTTTTACTCCTAAAACAATAACAGTGAGTTTCTGTTTTGAATCACATAACTGTCGTTTGCGTGAAAAGCCAATGTGACTTAGACACAGCTTTTGCCATTAAGAGCACACAAACGATTTATTTATTTTTACAATATGATTTACCAAATTATGTCTATTCTTTCATGTTAGATTCTAAAGAAATTTGATCTGCAAATTTTAACATAAGCACAAATTTGGGCTTAATGAATGTTTGTAGAATGGCTGAATTAATAAATAGACTTTCAGAGCCTGGGAGGAACTTGGGATTCTAAATGAATATAATAAATCCAATAGCGAAATTTCTACCCTCTCCTGTGAATCTAAGGAGAATGTTATTTCTAATTGGATCTAAGTCAAGGACTTTGGGCTCATTGAAAAGGTCTTTTCTATGAATTTTTTCAAAACTACCCTATGTATAAGTAAAGCTCATTTTACACTCTATAAACTAACTCAGGTGGCCAAGGTTATCCAGCACACAAGTGGCCAGAGCTTGACGTGAATTGGGCTTCTGTCTTACCTTTAAGAGCAATTCTCAAATTTAAGGTATGTATGAATCTCTAGTGTCGAATAAAATCACCTTCATCACAGAACAAGTACCCATGAAACCCAAAGATAATGATTTATAAATCATCCAAACTTTATTTTGGATCTAGAAGTCTCATGTTCCCCTTTTTCTGCAAAATGCACTCAATTCCCCTAATTTCAGCCTGCCTAGAAATATTCTTTTTGCTGACGCTTTTGCACTCATGAACATTTTTTTGTCTTTGGCTGAAATTATGAACTGCAAAATAACACCAACAATAATAACATAATAATAATTGATCTCAATTCTTCAATTTCAAAAGTTTGAAATTTTGTGTTAAAGTTTAAATCTGGGTCAGTTTGAATTTCAGCTGAACTAGTTTATCCATCATGAGAGATTAGTTCCTAAGAGAATTTCTGACTTATTTAAAGCAAGAGAAAATTTAAGGTATTTCTGTTGAGTTGTATGAGGCTTGAAAAAAAACAATCTATAAAAAAGAGAAATTATCCACATACATTGGTAAATATTGAAGCGATGGAGATTTGTGAAAAAGCACAGTAGCACACATGCTCCATTCCTTTTCTCTTTGATTTTATATTTCTTTGTTGCTCGCCAGTTTGAGCCAATTTCTGAATCTTTTTTAATCAATTAGAGTAAAAAGAAAAGAAAAACAGAAATTTCTAGGCAGCACACTGATGTCCTGTTCATTCAGCTTGTTACTACAAGCTGACTTGGGTTTATTTCTGTTGACAAACTCTGCGGTAGATGACACAAGTAATGGAGGTAAATGGCAGAGCAGGAAAAAAAATTTCGAGAATCAGGGTGGGTTTGACTTTACAATGACAAATTGGACACCAAGGCCTGAAGGGATTTTGTTTGGGTGAGGAATTTGGAAGCTTTCTCTAGTGCTAGAATGTGGTCATTTATTGTGGCAGCCTCGGAATGTTACTTACTTAGTAAAGGGTGTCCTTATTCATAGAATGGTGAGTAGCGGTTGCACTATTAAGAACAATAAGGATGATGACAAAAATAAAATTTATTAAATGCTTATTATGTGACAAACACTGTGCTCAATGTGAATTATCTAATTTCAGTTTATATATATTAATACCATAAGGTAGGAATATTTATAGCCCATTTTATAGTCGAGGAGGTGGAAGCTTAGTGAGGTTAAGTGATTTGCACAAATTATTACATTAATGACAGAGTTGGAACCTGAAGCAATGTTTGCCTGATTTCAAAGCCCAAATGCCTACAAATATATTAAAAATCAGTTAGTGAGAAATACCAAACTCAAACAAAGACTTTGGAAACAAATAAATATAATTGTTACTGTTAAAAATATATATATATATAAATTAAACAATTAGTCTACATTTTAAATTAAATAACTGAATACTGGAACTATTTTTTTTTCCCAGTGCACGTCTAAGGTAGTTCGATGTAGTTATCTTTATAAGTCAGTAAATACCTCCAACTTCCAAACTAAGATGAATCTCTTCAAATTCAACATTGTCTTTTAGATTAGATTCATGGAAAGAAAAAAGTCACAATGATATGACAGCCTAGGAGAAAATATTTGCAATGCATGTAACTGACAAAGCGAGTACATCATTAATACATAAAGAGCTCCTACAAATGAATAAGACCAAGACAAACAACTCAAAAGAAAAATAGCCTAAGAATATGAAGAGTTAAATTCCCCACAAAGAAGCACATAGTTATGAAAAAAAGCTCAAACCCATTAATAAATAAATGCATAAGTAGACAAATAAACCCAGCCCATCCATCGGATAGTTATATTCTTTTTAGAAAATAATTTCGTGTTAAAATATCCATTAGTGTTTGACCTAACAATGCCACTTCCAGTTTCTGTCTCATTTACATAAGAATAGTCATTTGTATAATTCTTTATAATACTAAAAACTGGAAATAACCCATAAATCATGTGTGTAGGTGTGTATGTGTGTGTCTAAATTTATTTTAGTTGAGAAAAAAAGTAAAGTTTAATTTAATATGTATAGTTTAATTTCATTGGCTTAATACATATGTTTTTGTATTTATAAGTAAGTTGCATAGATAAGTCAGTGTGACTATAGGAAAAAGTTGGGAAGGATATGCACCAAATTGTCAAACTGTGGAATAAGATGAGGTGAGCAAAGGAAGGATTTTTTATGTATTTTTATTTTTAAAGTGGTGGGATTAGAATATATTTTATGTTTTTGGTGACTGGTATTTCATAAATGAAATTTTTTTTAAAGAGGAGAAAAATTATCTGTCTTAATGATTAATCATGAATCTAAAGTTATAAAATCTTGGATTTCTATGAACTAGTTCATGAACTATTAGAAAGATGTTGGAAATATATGGCAGCCCCTTTTCACGTTTTTTCCTTTATTGAAAAAACTTAAGTATAAAATTTTTGTAACATATAGATAAGCAAGAAATAAGTTAAAATTTCTTACAATTCTCATAATTTTCACAGTAAAGTAGGGAAGTAGTAGTCTACTATGTAATAGTTCTTGCAGACTGTTTTATTTCCTCTTTATTTTGAGTGCCATAGCAAAAGCAATGGCACCATGAATCAATTACCCAGTGGTAATTTTCTTCACTTTTTCCCCTATGCATCTATAGTCTTTTTTAAAAAGTACAATAGTCTTAACATAGGTCCACACAAAAATTTGCACACAAATGTTTATAGCAGCATGATTCGTATAATAGTCAATAAAGTGAAAGCAACACAAATGTACATCTATTGATGACTAGGCAAACAAAATGTGGTATAGTCATATGATGAACTTTATTTGGCAATCAAAAGGAATTAAGTACTGATACATGCTACAACATAGATAAACATTAGGCTAAGTGAAAGAAGCCAGTCACAAACTATCACATGTTGGACAATCTTATTTATATGAAATGTCCAGAACTGGCAACCCTATGGGGACAAAAATAGATTCACTAATCTACTTGCTTAGGGCTGTGGGAGCAAGTAGTGGCAGCAAGGGAATGACTATTAGTGTGTATAAGGTCTCTTTTTGGGGTGATGAAAATATTTTAAAATTAAATTATGGTGATTGCACAACTCTGTAGTTATGCCTTAAATGGGTAAACTTTTATGGAATATAAGAAATTATATCCCATATAATTATATCTCAGTAAAACTCTTAAAATCTTATGGAAGCATTTTATTAATGTCAGCATAGCTGTAAATGAAAAGAGTTCTAGAAAATTTGGCTTTTTTCCGAGTTTCCATTCTTTCCTCTCCCTACACTCCCTACACTCAATCCCAGGAAGAAACTTGGTTGATTGTGGTTCTTTTTATGGAGAATTTTTCCGCTCCTGAAGTGTTCTAAACCTATTTGGTTGATACTTTTCCTGAATCACCAGCCCACAGATGAAAACAAAATGAAAGCAGCAGTACCTACCTTCAATAATATGTTTTCTTGACAACCCTCTTTCCGTTTCAGCTCTAATAAGAAAAGAAGCAAATGACTTTCAGTGGGGTGTGCTTTTTTAAAAATCTCTCTTTCAAAAGAACAGAATAATCATTCTAGAGAGTTGCTAATTTTATACCCTGTTCTCGGCAAATTCTGCACCATTGCAGACTGGTGGGCAACACACTGAGTCTCTTTTCTTTGGGGACCCCAGGAGATGAATTAACCATGACTGTCATCACACCATAGCAATAACAACTCAGCCATGCACACTCTGTCCATATGTAATTTGACACATGGCTCAACCTTCCCACCTTGTCCCAACCAATCCCAAGGAAATTTTAAACATAAAATAAAAGGCTTGACATAAGTTTGTGAGCTTACTATAAGATTGCCAGGCTGCTACTGCCATTAGCTCTTCTGAGAAAGGAAGCAAATTTGAAAGTGCCTTTTAACTTTCAAAAGAAATCAACAACTCTTTTCTTTTAAAATGCGATCAACCAACTTTTCCTTAAATTAGGATCCTAAGACCAACTTTTAACCAGGACTTTTGCCTTTTCAGATCATTCTCAAGCTCTAGCCAATTAGAAAGAAATGTGATCCTTGGGTTTTAAAATATTGATGAAATGTTTCTTCAACATCAATACCTTTGGCAACCTCTTTTTAAGCATAGTAGTTTACCGTTTACCTTTGGTGATTTTGTATCTTTTATAAGTATATTAGACAATATTCTGCATAGTACACTACTGCATAATTGTTCTTGCAGATTGTCTTACTTCCTGTTTATTTCCTCATTATAGGCAAGGTTTTGAGAACCATTGCAAAAACACCAGGCAATGTCACCACGAATCAGAGCATAAACAAATTAAATCTACATTTCTCGTACGTACCAAGTTGCTTTCTTTTTATAAAGACTATAATAGGAATAAAAATCGAAATTTCATCTTTCTATCTTCAGATTCATCATAAACAGTCTCAAAACAGCAATAAAATACATGTGTGTCTTTGTACACACATACATTTTTAGTAGAACATTCCTAAAAACTGGCTTCTGCCTCCAGTTTTGTTTTTAACTATGTATTGCCTATCGTTTATAAAGAGGTGAATAAAATTTTGGTTGTTTGTGGGGGGTGGGAATTGTTGTTGTTGAGATTTCATGGAAATCCCAAAGATTTCCATGAAAATGTATATGGAATAGCTTGATGTTTTCTTACATGTTTTTAAAAAAGACTAGACTTCTAAGTCCTGCTGGGTAATGTAAGTACCAGTTCAAATACAAACAGGTCCATCGGAAGCCAATTCATCCTGTGACGTTTGTTGTGCGTCTCACACCAGAGAGAGGACTTCTCTTTTATGCGGCCTGACAGTGAGTGTTATTCTCCAATGAGAAGCTCCTTTTGATGGGCACTTTGAGAGTCCTCTGCAGAAATGATCAAAGACTTACACTTGGGGCCGGACAAGATATTTTTATCTTTGTGATCTGCAGAAGTCTTTGAGTTTGGGCAGATTTGAGTAGCTTTTCTTCTGTGATGCTGTGTGCTTATTTTCTTTTCTCAAAATTCAAACTCTGTTTTGGAAACTGTTCTAAGAATGAGATTGGTATTCGAAAATCTCTGTAAATCACTTAGTTACAAGTGACCACATGTTTCGTACTACATTTCTTTGGGGGTATCTTGCTAAAATTAAATCTTAGGCCAATTTCTATTTCCTTCCAGTGAGAAAAAATAACCTTTTCAAATTAATTAATTTTGGAACATTAGACATGAAATGGTTGCCTAAAAAGATAAAAGCATGAACTACTAGTTGTTTCCTGTCAAGAAGGGAAAATAAAAGGTATTTAACTTACTTTCCGCCCCAGTAGAGTTTGGTTGTTATGACCAAGCTGGACCTCCTGTATGTTAAACAGACAAGCGCAAATAGAGACATATTACGCAAATTGCCAGTTATTGTACTGAATCATATTATTGTTATAACATTATTGTTATAAAGAATTTATTGTACTTCACATTTTTAAAAATTTGGTAAAGAGGTAAATTTGTTAATTCATGTCACTGAAATATAAGGACAGAGGGAAGCTGGCAAGTGGGGACTTGAAGTCAGATCCCAGAAAAAGAGATTGAATGGAAATGATCTCTACCAGGTGGGGTGAGAGGACGTAGAGGGCTGTGACAGCAAATAGGTGAGCGGGTGGTAGCGCAGGGAAGGGAAGTGGTAGGCGTGGAGGGTCAGAAATAGTAAAGGAGATGCATAAGTAGAAGGACATAAAGGATGGATTGCTTTAGTATCTCAAACAAACAGCCACCAACTAACACTCACTTAGCATCTGACATAAGTTAGGTGAGTGAGCATGAACTTTCCTGGAGTTAAGTCTACCATCCAAGGACCATGGACCCAGCAGTGCTGAGTTACTCCCCTTTCCAACCATCATATTCACAGGCAGAAACTGTCTACATGAAAATATGAACAATGAAGTAATTTGTAATCGTCAATAAAAAGGAATAAAATTTATTTGAGTGTCTTATTAAATGGAAATGTTGTTTCAGGAAAACAATCATAAAATCCTTAACTCAAAGTTTTACCACCTTACGCTTAAGGGAATAAAATGTGAACATCTTGTCAGCAAACTTATTACTTTCTCAAAACCACACCCACAGACAGAAAATGCCATTATAATTGTGGAATAAGAAATATGTCATGAGAACTATAGTCATATAATTTAAAATTGGGAGGCAGATCTCAGAGTAATTTAGTTTCTCTAGGAATGTAATTCAATTGCGCTGGTCTAGACAAAACAATCATTTGTGATTCAAAGGTTAAGACCAAACTTTGAGAGTATTTGAAATAAGGCATTTATAATTCCATCAGTAGTAGCAGTGATGCCTCAGGGCCCTCAGGTATAAAACCTAGTATGATTAATGATAACCAATGGGGAATGATGGTGACAATTCTGACAACTTGGCTGCAGTAAGAAAAATTTGTAGAAAATGTCAGCAACCCCATACCACAGAAGTTAATTCCCTGAAAAGTAATTTGAATCACTGTAATGCAAAATCTACAGGTATTTGCATCTGGAGATTATACACCCCAGAAGGTGCACTTTCTAGATTGATCCATCAACCTCATGAGACCTAGCATAGCAGCCATCTGCCACAGGGGAGCAAGGTCTCCTTTAGCAAACATTTTCAGAGCCTCAATAAAAGGCTGGATGGAATAATATAAAAAATGAATGCAGCCCTCTTGATTATTCAGGGCATCTGGGCCTGCCAAAGCCGCACATTCTCTTGAGATACTACCACCACAGACTTACTTATTCTTCCAAAGTTAGGCTTTCTGGAAAGTGGTTAGTCTATACGGGTGTGCACACTAATTCGAATGGCGAGAGGAGACAGCAACCTGGCAAATTATCTCTGACCTTGCGGAGGCATTCAGAGTGGGTGGAGCGATCTCACGAATGTTTTTCTTTGGTATAGCGCAGCCTTTAAAAATACTTTTGCACACCTTATATCACTTTATCAACATAACACTTCATGAACAGCTATGCCATTCGTTTTACTAGTAGGGAAATTGAGATCGAAGTGAAGTACCTGGTCCTGGACAGCACAGCTGGCCACTCGGTGGCCCTGGGACTAGAAGCCAAGTACAATAGTTGAAACTGACTTTATAGACTCCATGCTGTGATGATACGGTTTATCTTTTTATCAGTCTTCTGGGGGCAGCTGCAAACTGATATCAATATTCTGCAGCCTGGTGATAACTTAAGTTTGTATTTGCAAGACCAAAGGGCAGTTTGAGAAAGATGCATGTTAATCTAGTTCTTGTGGGTGTACAGTAGGCTCTGAAAGCCCCGAAGAGCGATGGCTAAATGTTCTCTGGGTGTCGAGGGGAGAAGAGCTACTGCACTGACACTTCTCCTTCCTCGGTGTTCTCTGCCAGCCTGACCTCGCTGCGGATTTCACTGGACTCACCCCCAAGGTCTCTGCTACGGGTTGAATCGTGTCTCTCAAAAAAATATGTAAAAGTCCTGACCCCTCAGTACCTCAGAATGTGAGCTGGTTTGGAAACAGTGTCACTGCAGATGGAATTAAATTATGATGAGGTCATACTGGAAAGTGTCGAGCCCTTAATCCAATATGACTGGTGTACTTATAAGAAGACACACAGACACACATGAGGGGATGTGATGACACGTGATGACAGAGGTAGAGGTTGAAGTGCTGTATCTGCACCAAGGAACACCAAAGTCACCAGCAACCACCAGAGCCTTGGAAGAGGGAACATGGCCCTGCCCAAACCTTGATTTTGGACTTCTGGCCTCCAGAACTGTAAGAGAATAGATTTCTGTTGGTTTAAGCCATCCAGTTAGTGGCTCTTTGTTACAGCAGCAGCCCTAGGAAATTGATACAATGCCTATTTGGGCAGTGATGGATGGACCAACGTAATGAATGGGAAGGTCACTCAGGCAAAGTGGAGGTCTGGGTGGGGATCTGAATATTTTTCCATTTTTAAGGTTGAATACAGTTCTCTTTTAACATCATTACAGTCCCTGGAGTTGGGGAGGAAGATAAGTGAGAAGGGGAAAGTAGGTCACCAAACTGTATTTGTTGACATCTCCATAACTTTCTGGTTTTCTATTTCCACAAGGCCCTCTATTCCTACCAAGCACTTATCTAAGAGTGAAGGGTAAGATTCCGTGGAGTAAGAATACATGGAGCTCTGTTTGACCCTTCCACTTTCCCCTTCCATTTAAACGCTTTGTGCAAAGGCATAATAAAACCAGTCTTGAGCTATACTTTTTGAGAATGTCCATTTTTCCTAGACTGAATTTTATACAAGCTACAATTTTATATGCATGGGTCCAGAGTTCTTTGCATAGTTGTCTCACGAATACTATTGAACCGTTATTTATTTGGCCATCGGCAGATATTATTCCAGAGCAGAATAGGACCCCAAACTTGTCCAGTGGTCTTTGTTGGGCTTTGCCTGATTCTGTGCCCATGCTGGGGAAGAAGTGGCCGTTGGGGTTGACGCACTTAGTGAAATGGAGAGGGATTGCCACCCTGCCCCCCCAGGCCCCCACAAATGTTGCAGCATCCATTATCACACTCGCTTTGGCTACAGATGGCGATGGGATGAGACGTGACCCCTCAAGGATAGCAGATGAAACACTTTCTTGAATGGCCAGGGAATAGGGCTCCCAGTACACAGGCGAGACATTGGCAGTTAAGAAAGCTTTAGGGTATTTATCTCAAGGACTTCTTATTTCATCATTTCTTTGCATTCATAAATATGTGTGTATAGTATAAATAATCAGCTTCCTGTCAGCTGGCTTCTTTCACCAAATTACTACAAATGGCAATCAGAAGCCATGAAAATGTCACTTTCTTTTATGGACGAATACTTCCTGAACCTTCCCTCCTTATCTGCTCAACCCCACAGTAATTCACTGTGATTAATGATTAGTCAATAATTTTTGAAGCACAAGTAATGAACTGGCTGGTATTTATTTTCAATCCACGTGAATCATTTTTTTACGAAGAGTTGACTTATGTTTTGTACAAACTTTTGGCCAGTTTTTTTTTTTTTTCTTTTATGCCTACAGCACCTGGTCTTTTTAGGTGGTCTCCCATCCAAGTACTAACCAGGCCCAACCCTGCTTAGCTTCCGAGATCAGACAGACATCGGGCTTGTTGAGGGTGGCATGGCCGTAGACCATGGACCATGGCTCCACTGGGGCATGAACCCAGGACCTTCTGTGTGTAAAGCAGACATGCTAACTGCTACACTATGGAACCACGTCCTGGCCAGTTGTAATACAATTTTATTTTCCCTTCCTCAATACAAAATAATGTCTTTTTAAAGGCAATTAAGTGATTATAGTGAATGCATTACCTCCAGCCTTTCTTCTTGATGATGCTCCCCAGAATCACTTCAGCTCTGAAGGAGGAAATGGATAATATCTTAGGGTACAGTGTCTTGGAAACGCAAGAGTCAATCCAAAACACCAGAGCCATCCCTTGTTTGAACTCTCAATGCCTCCATGTCCCGAAAATAGAAGCCACTCTCAGCTGGTAGCACAGTTTCCGCTATTTCTGCTCATGCCTGCAGAATCCTGCTCCAGAGCATTCCAGAAACACCTGCCAAATCCTGACACACTGGCAGGAGACCACCTGCAGTTCTGATATTAAGAAACAGCAGCCATTTGGCAGTTTTTTGTTTTTAAACCACTGATCCCATATATAAATGTCCTGCTTGGGGTATCCAATCTATTTGCTGTGGTCTCCAATTGTGACTGTGAAGGACAATGAGACCTCACATTATTTAGATAGAATATAATGACTTCCAGGAGATCTTGCAGGATAAAAGAAGCCATGCATGGGTATCCCAGAAGCCAGAGCTGCAAATGTAGAGGCCCACAGAGATAATGTCCTGGGTTCCAGTGACAAGCATTGCATAGAAGCAGGACATAAGGTGTCAGAGAAGTGAGTGACCTTCCCGCACCTAAGGCTGGGTCGTGGAGAGGTATACTGAAGACATCCCCACTGTGTTCCCCCATGTACCTAGCTCAGCTGGGACCCAAGCTCGAGGAAACTTACACTATCTTCTAGGCCTCTCCCAGTAAAACCAACTTGTGAGAAGCAGCTGGTCTCTCAGAGGCTATGTGAATGGGGACATTGACGGAATTAGCACTTTGTCCGTTAGGGCCCTATGGATGGAGGTCATTGTTAATCGTTGTCTTAACTGAAAGTTCTGTCTTTGCTGGAGTGGGTTTAGGAGCCTGGCAATGAGCCACAACGCAGTTAGCTGTGGAGCATGCCGCAGACAGACCTGCACCGGATGTGACACCAGCGTCCTCATCTTCCTCTCCCCTGCCTCTCTGACGGTTGCCTTTTGCAACCTTGTGTTTCACAGTGGGAACCTGTCTCACTTACACACTGACAAGCAGTCGGTAATTAACCAGGGCTGATTATCCTTCACAACAGGAATACAAACGGAACTCTAACAGACTTGTTCATCACTCCTTCCTTTTGTCAACCTTAGCTCCTCTTGGTATTGAGCAGGATTCAACAAAAGAAGAAAATAATGAGAAAACGTAGACTATCGAAAGGAGCAAGGCCTTACTGACTTTATTTTTCTTGGACTCAACAGGAAACATCAGGGATGTGGTCTCTGAACCTCCTTGATGGTCCTTAAATATAGACCCGCCCTTGAAAAGGAGGAAACCCATGCAAGGAAAATGCATTTCAACCAGGCAGTGACGAACGCGACTGAGCAAGGCCAGCAGTTCGATTGTAGTTCTCACCTGGAAGCGGGGAATTAGGCCTGTAGGTGATTATGCATCACAGTCCTGCTAGAAAATTGCAGAGCTGCTCAAGCAGCTGTCCAGCCATTTAGTTCCTTTTAGTTCTTGGGGCTGCATCCATATTCACAGTGGGGGCCAAGGTGCTCCAGTGCTGTTCTGAAATATGCTTCTGGTGCCTAAACCTGGAGGGCGTGGATCTTGAGGCCTGGCCTCAATGGCACATTACACATGTGTTCAGATCTGGGAATAATCCCTGTCCTAGAGCCCAAACCTGCTCTCTAGTCAGTGAGAGGGTTTGTAGCAAGATACGACTTCTCCAGCAAAAGAAGCGAGGCCTCTTTGCAACCCTCTCTGTCCTCAGAGTGGGGTCTGAAATGCCCTCTTGTAAAAGATACTGAATTTCTTGGCCTCTTTGGGAACCCATCCTTTAATCTCTGATCTACCTGTAATCCTATGTGGAGGGACAAGTCTGCAAACGGAAAAAGCATGCTCTGCTTCCCCACAGAGAGGAAGGTCCAATTTCCCTCGGGGATTGAGGAACTATGAGATTTGATTATGAAATTATGAGACTAGATTTTGAGCAACCACACCGTAATCTGTTAATTTATTTGCTCACTCATATGGGTAACTGATGTTTATTGATCTCTGCTGCCACCACCCTGGTCCCAGCCACCTCGGCCCTCATGTTGGCCAAGGCGATTGCTTCATGCATGGACCAGAGGCGGGAAGGTGTAGGTGTGCAGAGGGAGCTGGAGATGGTCAGTATCCCTAACTGTGGTGGTGGTGGTACAGGTGGGGAGAAACAGTGCCATCGGCAAGTGTGGGAAGGGTGGACCCTTCTCACTGGCGTGTCAGCCATGGTTTGGGCAGAGTCTCTTGGTTCTAGAAATGCCACTTGAGGGACGCAAACAGGTACCGACTTACTTTCCAGCGGCATAGACCTCGGCAGTATCAAAGAGGTTAACACCACTTTCGTAGGCGATGGTCATCAGCCGTTCAGCCACCTGCAAGAAGATGGGAAGGTCAGCCGGAAAAGCCAGGTGCTTCCCAAACCTGAGAAGCGGCTTTGAACCCTCCAGTGGTCTTCAAAACTCTGAAATTTCACTAACCACTTCTTGTTTTTCTCAGTTGTAGGAAACAAAGAATGCAAGAAGCTCCCACCAGCCTATATGGGGGTAAATGTATCCTTCTCCTCAGCCACCTTCCTGGCACTGAGGGATTTCCGTCAGTGCTGAGGTAAGCCAGCTGTCAGGAAGGAGCACAGTGAGGCAGACAGACTTGTTGCTCACGCCACGTGGGAGATCTGGTTTGCAACATTCTCTGTGGCATCATTTGTATTGTGGCCGATTCCATTTCTCTCCTTTCTCCAAGCCAATAGGTTGTGGCACCTGGGCGACTCATGACCTAAAGGTTTGTGTTTTCTTTCCTCAAGGCTTAGCAGACTATGCTGATGAACCGCAGGTGGGACGAAGCTGTGACTGTTGTAACTCCTGCCACCCCCATCTCAGCAAAACCCCGGACACCATCACAGAGTGGCCAGCCAGCCTAATCGACTGGGATGGAGGGCATGAGGCACTGGCTCCTCCCTGTCAGTCTGAAAAGAGATCTCCAGGCTCCTTATTCCTTCCCTTGTGCTGCTGGACGTAAGTGGCCAGTGTGACAGAAGTATCCCAGCGGGGATAGCTGTGAATAATGGCCGGAGGGATAACTATAGAGACATAGCCACAAGCAAAGAGTGGAGAGGGGCCATTTTTCATTTTGCTGATAGACTTATTAGTCCACTGAGAAATTACACACCTCGTAAATAATTAAAATTGATTTTTCCATTATGTTTTTGATTGCAGGCTAAAGTTGCTCCGTCAGCATTTCCAAGATAAACTCTTTTCCTGTTGTTTTTAAAACTGGCCAACCAAGAAAATTGTTAGGTTAGCAAAATGGAGTCCCTGCAAATTCTTTAGAAAAATAGCAGCGAAAATGCTACCACTGCCTTTAATTTAGTACTATTGTGACATTTATCCTAAGTAAAGATTGGAAGTTAAGACAGATATAGTTTTTCCCACTGTGACTGTCCTGTGTCTAAGAAATCATTATGCTTGCAGTGTACATTACCCTTGTGTCATATCACATGACATACCGGTAGATGATTATTGGGAAATGAGCATAATAAATTTTCTATAGAGAGAAATTTTAAGATAAGATGGAGAATCATGAATGGAGAGTTGGAGTAAATGATTGCTGAGATGTTTCCCAATCAGGGGATTTGAAGACCTCAGCGTAGAAGAATGAAATCACTGGACTAAGTCAGAAAACCAGCTTTCTAAGTTTTTGTTATTTTTTAAGTTTTAATTTTATTTTTTTAAGTTTATCGAGTTAACATTGGTTAGTACAATTATATAATTTTCAGGTGTACATTATAATTTGATGTCTCTATATTATATTGTGTATTTACCACCCAAAGTCCAGTTTCCTTCAGCTACCATATATTTGGTCCCCTTTACCCACTTCGCCCTCCCCATAGCTCCCTATATTTGACGCCTTCTACTCCAGAAGACCAGCTTTTTGCCTTGGGTGTACAGTTACTGGATAAATCAACTTGAGCAAGTCATTTGTCCTCTCTGTAGGACGGTTTCTTCATCTACGAAATGATGATAATTCTGTTCAGATATCCCATGGAGCCCTTATGCCCAGAGCCAGTGGACCTCCCCTTCCTTCCCCAGGATGTACTATTCTAATTGAGGCCTAGAATTCCTATAGCTCTATTACTGCCTGAGGATGAAGTCGATACACAAAGGAATACAAAAATATAGGGCCAAGAGAATCACTGGGGAATGGAGTGGGGGCCACTGATTGAGTCAATCCTGAAGCTTGCTCTACCTCTACCGTACGAGTATGAAAGTCCAAATAACTTCTTTCCTAATGGGTTAAGCCAATTTGGGTTAAGCTTATTGTTACCTACAGTTGAAAGAACCCTAACTACCTTACAGATGAGAAAATGTCAATAAAACTCTGAAAATTAAGTGCTATAAGATGATAATATGCTATTTACCATTATTTAACCCATTTCTTGTTTAGAAAAAAAAGTGCAGCCTTGCTGTCAGCATTAATTTAACATCATGCAAAAGAATGCTTCGTTTTCTAGGATTTGACATTTTCAACGGTCAAGAATTACTATATTTATAAATGGAAATACCACTACTAAAAACAGGATACTATAAATAAAATGATGTCATTTGTTTCCAAAGATGATCGATATACTAGAGCGATGCAAAGGTAATAATAAAAGTGAGATATTCCGTGGCAAACTTTGGGGGTAAGGTTAGGGCTGTACTCCACGAATTATCTTGGAGTAAACACTACAGCCACAAGTGCAGCTGGCGAGTATTCTCGGGGCAAACGGGAAATGGGTTAATAATAATATTCTGATGAGTAACATCTATCTTGATTTTATGATGAATCATCGTTGGGAGGCACCTCACAGAGTTATCTAGTTTCATGTTTGAATCTTTTCAATCATGCCCTTGTCAAGCGGCTCTTCAACATATGGTTGAACTGTCCCAGTAATGGGGACATCACCGTCTGATGAGACAGGACTGATAATTGCGTCCCCCAGAACATTACGGTGTGGTCATCCCAGGATCCCATATTTGTACTGAACTCATCTGAAGCAGAGAGAAAGCAGGAAAATCTGGGGAGGTGGATTTGTTGCTATTTGTCCGCACTGTTGCCACGATCTTGAGCAGTCTAACCACTGGTATGACTGGTCTGCCTGTGTCTCCCTTCCCTCGTTACTGACATTCTCTCTGCAGGAACCTGGGGGAAGTCACAGCTGGTTTCCGGAAGGACAGTAGCTAATTGTCTGGTGTGCATCTGAGGTCAGAGCCGTTGCAGCCATTTACGAAAAATGTATTGTTGAGTTTTTAGAACCGTAATTTTAAAATGATTTATTTCAGAGCCCAGACCTTCACACTCTAACCTGGGCAAGCTGGGCTCATTGCAGTGGAGTGGCAGACACCGTAAAGGAGAGAGCAGAGGTGTAGGAGAAATCGATGCGCTTACAGTTGGACCCTCTGATCCAAAAGGGAAGCACCATACCAGGCAGTAGAAGGTTATGAACATGCTGGATACAGTGGATTATTAACTTCGGACCTCCTTCCCTACTTGTCATCTATTTTGTATATAAGTGTGCAGTCATTGCTCTGATATCTGTGGACTTGCCTCTGTGCCTACTCCACACACCCTTCCTCATGTCAGTCAGAGGGCCCTGTAGTGGACTCTGTGATGGCCACCCAGATTCTCCTTCATAACTGGAGGACTTATTCCCATAGATGCTGGGAATGCTGACATCGGATGGCCTTCCGCTGTCAGCCCTCTCTGGAAATTGCACTTAGCTAACGAGAGTCGAGAGTCGCTTAGCCCAAGGTCAGATCTGCTTCTCAGGGCAGCCTCTGTCCAGTGACTGGTCCTACAAGAAATATCAGTGCTCAGTCCTCTTGCCCCAACTTGGGACAACCTTGTAGGGCCATCTCAGCTTCAGAGCTCCCCATGGGGTCAGCTGAGGTCATTGTTGAGACTGCATCATGGCTCAGTTTCTCTATCTGCCTGATTCTGCTTCCTTCCCTGTCCTGTGTTGATCCTGAGAGCACTTCTAATACTGTTCTGCTTGCTAATCTCTATCTCAGAGTCCACTTCTCAAGAAATCCCCCCATGTAACACATTCTCAATGGGAACAGGCATTCAGATACATAAGAATATGCAAATAAGACTTCTCCCCTGGGTCTATTAAATAACAATGGTGACCTTGGGATCTATGGAAAAGACCCTCAGTTCCCCCAAGCTTCTGCTTAGGAATGATAGAACTACCATGTCATATAGGAGGAACTGAGGCTCAGGGAGGTTGGACTGACTTGCCCAAGCTGGGGTGACCGACTGTCCTGGTTTGCCCAGGCTGGAGAGGCCCCATGCTAAAACGTGAAAGTCCATGCAAACTGGGACCAGTTGGTTACCCTAGGTGGAGCCAAAACAAACAAACGAACATACAAACAACAGCAATAAAATCTTTTCATAAAGTGACTAATATTCATTCCAAACTGCTTCCTTCTCCATTTATTGAGCCTGCGCATTGACAGCTTCAAGGATTAGTAGTCTAAAGGTGAAGAGTACAAGAATCCAGATAAAACTGAAAATGATCTTTGAGTCAGTCTTAACTATTTCCTGTGATTAAAGCATTATCCTTGTAAAATGCCAGGATCCCAGGAAAAATTCTCCTATTGTACAGCTCTCTCTGCATTTTCTTTGATCAGCATAATGGAAGCCAAATTAACTTACCTCATCTGAAATTTGACCTCCAAATGTCACCCATGTTCCTAGAAAAGAATAAATATTTGCACATTATTTATAATCATTTTTTTCTACTATTGTGTATAATGAGAGGAAACGCTTTTTTTCTTATGACAAGCCTACTTCATAGGTTGTTCACGAAGGCATCTGAATGAAGGGCACTGGGGCCTGCAGTCCAGCCTGCCTGCCTCCCCTCACTAAGTCGCCTAGCAGGGGTCTGCAGCCCCCTGGAGGAAGGGATGCCCTTTCTTCATTCAAAGGCACCATTTATGCTAAGAACAGCCCTGCCTTACAAAATGCTTTTTCTCCTGATATAGGACCATGAATGCTAGTGTGCAAAAAGGCACTTCTACTCCGCCCAGTCTGGCTGCACACCCCTCTTGCTCTCACTAGCCAAGAAGCCACCAGTTCTGAAAGTGAAGATAAGACCTTGGGCTAGGGTTCTTCTCTTTTTTTGTCTCCAACAAGGGATTCTGCTTTGTATTCGCTAATACCTTTCACAAGGAACCCTCTCAACTGTCCTTTCAGTCCCCACTTGCGAGCCCCAGGATGTGACACTTAACCATCTGCTCTGTTGTGACCTGCAACTCCAGAATAAAAATCTCCACTGGTTTGGGGCTGAGAGTAGAGGCAGTAGCTGGAGCAAGAATTGGGACAGCGGGGAGAGAAGCACAACCAGCAGCTGGGTTTGCCTTCGGAAAGCAGGAGGAAAGCAGACAGTGCATGGGTCTTTGCCACTCCGGTCAATAGTCACCTCATCCGTTCCTCCCCTCCTGGATTTTTTTTTTTTTGAGCCCTGATAGCACACCAGGCAAAGGCATCGCACCCAGATGCTGAGGACAATGAGGCGATTGATCCAGTTCCTTTTCCCCACAGTCAACTGTACTACGACTGAGGCAAACACAAGGCCGTAAGGCAGGGGGTGCTCTACCTAGACAGGAGGGAGGTGCGCTCGAGAAAGACAAGAAGAGGCGACATTTGGGTTGAATTGCAAAGGAGGTAACTGAATGAAGAAGGACGGCACAGGCATTCAAGTATAGGTAAGAGCACAGGCAAGACAGGGAGGCAGAAAACTTTGGAGTGCAGTAATGAGCTGTGCAGTGGGCTCTTGGTTGTTGAAGAAACATGATGCAGAGAGGGGGGTGGCTGGAATAGGAGCAGCCTGGGAGCATACAAAGACGTTGTTGGAAACTTAGGTTTTGCATTTCATAATCACAGTCATAGCCATTTGTGGAATACCTTCCAAACGCCACCGATCTGCTGATAAATTTGTATACTTTCACCTCTAATCGTTTTGAAAAACCTGCAAGGCGATTTTGTTATTCCTATTTCCAGGTGAGGAATCAAATGGGTTTGAGCAACCAAATAAGTGAAATACACAGGACTCCCCACACTGGCCTGGCTTCAAGAGGGGTGGGTACCCTTGTCACAGCATCTCACTGCCCTCAGGAGACTAGTTCCAAATTAATCATGGCACTTGGAGTTCACACTGCATAGAATGTTGATGTAATTGTACATTTTCTCTTCTTAGTCGCCAGGGACTAAAACGAAGGTAGGATATAAGTTACTTAACTGTTACATTCTACTCCACTCTACAACCCCAGAGGTTGCAAATGGGCAGCCACAGGTACATTCACGTGCAGACTTGTTTTGCAGACGTGCTGGAACCATATTGACTCACCTGCCTTTTTAAAAAATTTTGAATAAGTTACCAACATTTAAATAATTAGGAGATTTTTCTTTAAAATGCCTGATTTCCAGTTTCTCTTAACAACAGAGTGCCTGTGTCCCCGCAGGGCAGACATCCCTGGATCCGAGAGGCCACATGCTCTGTGGAAGGGCTGTGTCCTCCGCATTTAGTCAAAGACTGTACGCTTGCCTTTGTATTCCCCACACTGAAGTTAAATGCGGTTGTTATTTCCTACCACATGTTTACCGCTATTTTTCTTATTGTAAAATTAAGAAAAAAATGGACTTATGCTTCTCCTAAAACACAGGTGAGTATTGGTGTTGAGTATTTCAAGAAAAAATGGGAGTGTATTTTTTTTGGAGGATGTGAAGAATACGCAAACAAAAAATGTTCACCCTGAAAAATTACATCTTAATGCACCCTAATCAAACCAGCAATGACTGATATACAGAGAGGATGGACGTCGAGAAACTTAATGGAGTGGAGAAATGGCAGTGTTTGTTTTTGAATAAAAATAAAATAAGTGATTTGCTGTGAAATGCAGTTCTCTATTAAGTGAAAAAATGGCCAGTGCATCAAAACCTTTTTATAGATGCTTTTATAAGAGAGTCTCTTTTGAATGCAGCAGAAATTATGTGTCCAGAGCATAAGCAAGCATTTGCACATTTTAGTATAACCAGAAACATTGTAGCTCAGCATTTTAAAAATATGGTTGAGAACTTTCAAGATAAGTTAAATTATTGGTGGCATTTTCTATTGCAGCAAATGAGAACACAGATATAAATAATAGCACACTGTTAGCTATATTTATTTGTGACGTTTCGAGGGGTCAAAGAACTTTTGAACAAGGAGTCCTGCAAGGCAAAACATCAAGAAATAGCTTTGTGATGAGAAAAGTCTCAAACCACTGGATGTCGTATGCATCGTTCAAAGTTATAAGTGTTACTACAGACTGGGCTCTCACAAAGGGTAAAGCTGACACTGGACTTTTCAAGTAACAGATTTCTAGATGGCAGTATTTTGTAGAAACACTAAACATTTAAGTCTGTAAGTCCATTAATTTTCTCATTGATCAGGAGTTGCTTCGGGCTAAAAGGCTAAAATGAGACAAGCCATGGATTCAGTAATTAATTCTATGAATCGGCTGTCCTAAATCTTGGAGCAAAATTAGGTCAGTGTCTGCTTGATAAATTTGCTGGCTTATATGTGTTGTGAGGACAGAGATTTTTTAAAACAGTTCACATCACCTAAGGGAGTGGTCCTATCTCCACTTAGCAGCAAAGATTGGCTTGAAGTTTCAAGTTTTCTGCTGACATTACAACTCATCTTCACATTTCGAATATTTTTCTGTAGGGACATTCACAAGTATTTGAGTAAGTGTCTCATTTGCTTCCCTGTGTCCTGACAAAAAAGAGTCTTTGGGAAATTCATTTGTTAAATTTCATTTGGTCTACTTTACTACATTGCAGTCAGTGTCTAGAAATTGATAGCCTGAAATTTATTCTCTGAAACTGGGCCATTGAATACTGGATTTCAAACTTCATGAAAACATACTAGCATTATTTAGCTTAGCTTTCTTAATTTTTGGTAGTACAAAGTGCTGTGATTTGAAGTAATTAAATTATAGTTCAAAATAGTATTGAAGATTAAATATGACAACATTGAAAACCAAGATTGTAGACACATCTTGGAGTAGATCACCCTACTTATAAGAACCACTTGCAATAATTCTATCCATGTTGGGAAAAGCTTGGTTTTATAAATATAAATCTGAAAATGAATCTGAAAATATCTACCAACCCCAGTTTAAATATTTAAGGCTGCATACCATATATCACAGTGAAAAAATAATGTGAAGTGACTGACATTACGGTACAGAAGAAAAGATGTCAGTTTTCTGATTCCAAATCAAAGCAGTAATGAATTATGAAAAAAAATAGTAATAATTACATGTTTTTAATTTTTAGTTTTAAATTTTTTAATATAAAATAGAACATGGATATCATATATGTGTATATATACATATGTATACATATATTTTATATGTGTCTACACTGTAACAATAAAAATGAAGTGTTTGAGTCCATTTCTGAAACTTTGTTACTCTCACATTCAGCTTCTTTGTTAGATAGGCTACTTTCCTGGCCCTTCAGACCTTTGCTACTCATTTTTTCTAGTTCCTTGTTTACAAACTTCAGTCTTTTACTAGGGAGTATGCTGTCTGAGAGTTTGTGTTTTATTTCATTCATCTTCTCATCTCCACAGCTCTAGAATAGAAGTAAGTCCTTCGTAGATGGTCGATAATCATTGGTCAAATTGAATTGAATTGCCTTTTTGACAGTCATTAATCTACAAAATGTCAGGATAATTCCCCACCAAACCAACAAGGTTATTTTGATTTAGAGAAACGTGAGTAATGCTCATCAACGGTCTTTAGTTCTAGTCCTGAGTTGATCGCTCCCGGTCCCTGGGTACCCACCCAGCTATGCCCGCCCTGGAAAAGAGCTGCGGGAAGGTCCTTCTCTCTGGCTGCAAGGCCCGGGGTAGAGGGTGGCACAATGAGGTGAGGGTCCAACAGCCACCCCCAAGGAAGAGTTGCCACTTATAAATTGGATATACTCCTTTCTGATGGAGGGGGATGGAGTGGTCAACTTCCAGACAGGGAAATTCTGCTTATATGATTTTATTCTCTACTGCCTGCCCCTCTTCACAAGATCTAAGGTGGTTTATTAGTGAATACAGTTCTCGAAAACTCTCTGTGATAGTTTTCTTGATTATTTTTCTGCCTCTAATGAGAGCACACCTTCTTGAGGCCAAGGATGGTGTATGATTATTTCACTGTGAAATCCCAAATTAGGGGAATGTTATTAGAAGATAATTTCACTAAAATGACACTTGTTATTTCTAACCTTTTAAAAGAAGAGAGAGTAAAAAGAGAACTTTGAATTGTTATTTTATTTTCTGATGAAACTGCTTCATGCACCAAGAAATATAGGCTTTGAAAACCTCTGTTGGGGTCTCCTGGCATACACTTACCATGGCATAGAAAAATGATTGGTGAAACATAAAAAGAAAAACTGCCTTCACACACACACACACACACACACACATACATCTTGGTTACTTAGTTACCTTGTTGTAATTATTTCCTGTTATTCATTTAGGAAACATGCTGATCATTTAAATGAACTTCCTAGAGTTTGAAGAGACGTTTAGACATTTAGATGTAATAATATTCGTTCAGGTAGACTACCTCCCTGGCCCTTTAACATCTTACAGCACCATAGTGCAATTATCAAAACCAGGAAATTAACATGGTACAGTACTAGTAACTAA